AATATTTTACCAGAGACAAAGATGTAGCCTTCCCCAGGAAAATGAAATGTACTTCAACTGAAGCTTGTGCTGTCATATAATCTTGGCACTATTATATACAACATAAAGGAAGTAATCTGCAGCCAATAATAGTGATCAGTAAAATGCATTAGGGCAAATGATTCTGTCCTTACTTTGTGCAATGCTCTTATTAAAGTCTGTTGATAATCTGCTCTTTCACCTAAGAGCTCATACACTAACAGTTGTTTCATCAGGCATCTGCAAAGATCACTTGGGGATCAATAGCAAGGCATACAAATACATCTGAAGAGGAAGTCACTTTTGTTAAAGTCTAATGTCAAAATAAAGGAGCAGCTATAGACTGAGTGAAAATATTGTCCTTTAGATCAATGGTGTCCTGGAGTGCAATAGGCTGAACCATTCAGATGAGATGTGACTGGCAGAAAGAGCGACACACTTGAATAATATCTTTGGAGAGGACTGTGAAGCATGGAACCGTTCTCCTGTAAAAAGCCTTTGGAGGTCACAACTTTATTGCTGTATAGTGCAGCAGATTTGAATGATCTGCTCTGCCAATAATCAAAGTACGGTGATTTCAAAAGGCCACTTAGCGCCATTTCAAAGATGGTCATTTTTCATCTTTATTGCACATTTTTCACATGTTGCCTTGTGTCTTGGGCACCCATCCTGTCTCTCGCTGCCGCTCATCTGTGCATTAAAACAGGTAATCAGGGGAAAACACTTCCCAGTGCTGATAAAAGTTAGCTCGGTGTAGCTGCTGTTGATGTGTACTCGCTTGTAAAGCATTGCCTTCAACTTTGTAACAGTAGTTAATCTGACTAACACAGAAGGAACAACAGCTAGCACTGTACCTGCAGTGCAGAAAGACTGAAGATTAACTAAAAGAAAAACATACTAACAATACAACAGCAATTTTGCTAAAAGTGTTCAGCTGCAAGCTGCAAATGCAACTGGCAATAGAAAGTCAGTGCCACTTTTACGGTCAGCAGATTCATGCACAGAATAAAGGTGCATGAAAAACCAGTGCTGATGACATTTCACTCTTTAGTAAGTTTTAAAGAGCATTACACTGTGGGAGATGTTCAATAGTATTGACACCACTTTGGGCCATGAATGTATTCCTTTTCAAGGCAAGCACAAATATGCAGCCACACACTGCTTGGTGGGATTTTCTCTGCTATGATCTGCTGTTGAATTCAAATCAAATATTTTGAACCTCACCCAGCTCAGCTGTTGCCAGGACTCTCAAATATAATAAATTCAGGATTTACTGGCAGGCTCCATATTTCTCTGTATGAAGCACTACTCATTTATTAGGATTAACTAAATTCTACCAGAGATAAGAACCGAAGGCACAGTGAGGTTCAGGGGCTGGTTAAAGGTCTTTAAATGCAGAATATATAATAGGCTGTTGCTAATTTGATTTTGTGCTTGTTCTTTGAATAATAACCACCAGTTTCTAAAAATAATATGTTTTATTTGTTTTTAGAGCAAAACTAATGATGTTAAAAGTAATTTACACTAACAATATGAATAGTGAGGACACTGCAGAGTCTACTTCTTACACATCTTTGAAATACATTTCACCCACAGTAAACACTGTACGGTGTCTGTGTGTGCATCCTGCTGGTGAAAACCTAAGCGGTAATGGACTCCTCCATTCAGTGCCATGACTTTGACTTAGTTTATAGAATGTGTCCCTGCTGGGTTTTTATTTCCTCTGTCTGAAAAAAGAAATGCAATCAGAGCACTGATGCTAAAATCATTACCTAATGACTAAAGTCTTTGTATGACTTCTTCCATGCTGCGACATTCACTGTTCAAGCACAAATCTCATATAATTGTGTGGAGAAAAGCATTTCTAAAAGTTTGTTTGAGGACTGTCTGCAGGTCAGATTGATTCAAATGTGTCAAGTCCAATCAATCACAGATTCACAGTCTACAGACTGATATGGAATTTTCTTACCGGGAGGGCTTTTCTCCTTTAGCAAAGGACACTTTGAAGACATATTATGAGCAAAGCCATGCTAAGATAACAAGTTGCTATAATTACATGTTGTGTTTTAAGACACACGTGATGTGATGTATCCCAATCGTACATGTATCTTGAAAATAACTCATATAGCTCATAGAGAAGGCAGTGAAAACAATCAATAATGTCACCCACATAGATTCCCTGTATAAACTCTGTGTTAACATGAAAGGGATCAGATGGGTCTCTGTGAAACCAAAGCAAAAACTGTCGTTTTACAACACTTCTTTTTTTTTGAGACTGAAAATGAAACCATATTACTTTTAGATTTTTATTAAAAAAGATAACATCAAATAATCTAACATTATTATACGGATCATTTTACCAGGGAGGCTCTTTTTAAGGTGTGAGAAGTTACCATACCATAGCAGGTATTTTTTATGATATCTTTATGTCCTTCCAGAAACAAAGCTCTGTGATGTTGACTGTATGGAGAATCATTAAATTTGCCTGCTGCTCCTCTTGGAGCATAAATCAAGCCAATCCATCTCTCTCCGACCCTGCTCCCTGGTGGCTTACTTAGAGCCATGCCAATGCAGCACTGGCTGTGGAATGAGCAAGGGTAAGCATGCAAGGGCTGCCCTTAAGCTGAGCTGTCTGACAGTATAAACAGGCCTCTGCCTCCTCTTGAGAGCAATAGGGATCAAGCAGGCTTAGTAGGAATGACCTGTGAGTGCCCAGACGGGGCCAAAACATGCAACACAACACAACTGTCTTAAGAATTGTTGCACTATTGAACATGAGAAAACCAGCCTACTTCACATTGCTCATGGCCCTGGAACAGAACCTAGATGCACTCCGCTGAGGATTCCCACAAGACTAAAGCCTTATAAATAATTCTGAACATTTTCTCTTTTTTTCCAGCCTGATTCACGAGAGCACGTCCTTCAAAAACAATTAGACGTCTGAAAATCTGATTGCTAACAAAAGAAATTCTGACATGTATGACCTATTATTCTTACAAGATGTGAATACAAATTCTAATTTTTAAAAAAAATTAAAAATAAAGCTCTCAAAAATTGATGCATTGGTTTCTGTGGCACCATGCAGCGTGGAATTAGAGGCAAAGGCGAAGGAAATGACAAGGCATTTGGTGTGGTTTAATTTCCTCAATTGCTTTATGGCCATACATAAATGCTTAAATTGGTTTGTAACATATGCTCTCCTTGCTCTGTTTACTTCCTTCATTTAGTGTGACTGAATCACTTTATTTGTGATTATCTTCCCAAAAGCTGCTGGAATGCACAGCATCACACCTCATCATTAACCATATAGAAGGAATGGGAATATGCAAATACTATCAGAGTATTTTGCAGCACTAAATGTGCCCCGGAGCGGCTTGTCCAATGACACAAATCAACAATTAAGATCTCAGCAGGGTCTGGGGGTAAACTAAATTGACATTATCCTATCTAACAATATGTAGAGCTGTGTGGGGTACATCACAACAAAGAACAAACACCACTGAGGGTTACTGGTGGTGGTTTGTTTCAACACATGTGTTGGTGTGTGTGTGTGTGCACTGTGGAAATGTATTCCCAGCTGAATCATCCACTTTGAGACACTGTCAAAGGTATACAATCATTTGAACAATGTAAAAGGCAACAGAGCTGTTTTGGTATTTCAACAGCGACGCACAGCAAAAACAAAAGTTTCTTTCAAAGCATTTACTTCCACAGAGGGTGCGAGTTTGGCTCCTCGTGGGATTTTATGCTCAGCACTCTGCACCTGCCGAATGTGTTTGACAGAGGGAACTAAAGTGGTCTAAATCACCATTGTGATTTCTCAGGGAAGCAGATGATTAGTAAACAAATGGTTCAGGCATATTTAATCAACCTAATGTGCTTGCAGTGCTCAGACTACAGTCTTTGCTGCGAGGGGCCAAAACTTTGCAATACACATTTGTAACATTTTATCACTTTCAGATGACAATAAAGAAACTGTGAAAGTAATAGTGAAGGCATTTCCTGAACTTTACATTTAGTAGGTTGTGAATAAAAATAAAAAAACAAAAAAAGGTGTTTTCCAAATTTGTGTATGTATTGGAACAGTTTTATGATGTTTGAGGGGCTCACACCATAATGAACAGTGACTGAACAAACACATTGACTAGATTTGACTAAGAACTACCAAAACACAATAAAAAAACTGGAAATGGTTCCCTATTTAACTGCCCAAGTGTTCCAAACCTGCTGTCTGATAGACATGGACAATGTCAGATCACAGTGACGGCATTTGATGCCAGTCCAACATCTATGAGAGAAATCAGAGCAACTGTGGAATAAACTAGTCATCTGAAATAGAAAGTGGTGAGTGGCACACAAAGAAGACCAGTGTTCACACCAGGGAGGTTTTGCAGTGCAGGGTAGGCTGAGAGTAAACACTCAGCCCTGCTAAGATGCAGACAGTTTTAGCATGAGACGGTTGGAATCAAACATGGAGAATTCATAAAGAAATGCAGAGGATTATGGTCTCTGCTGACCTTTTAAAAATAAGATTTTGGAATAAATGCCGGACATTATATTTTACTTTGAAAAACTGTAGTTCATGAAGTATAAACGGAAAATGGTGATGCCTATCATAAGTTAGACAAAAATTCACAGTAAAACTTTAGCTAGGCTATTTAAATGATCAGTCTTTTAAAATAAAGGGCTGCATTTCCAACTACAGTTTTCTTTTCAGTTTGATATTAATATGCTGGGGTTAACTGTTTATTGTACAAACAAACAAAAACAGCCACACACACTGTAACGTCATACCATAATAAAATTCGGACTTAATATGGATCTAAACCGAGTATAAGTTCTTTCACGCTAAAATCGCTTTTGTTTAGTTTACAAACCAGCTTTGCTTGTCAATAAAACCTAAACTTCAGTTCAACATTAGGAAAACTGCAGGAGCAGTGAAAAGACAACACAGCCAAGGTTTTTGCACAAAAGATTCGCACCTCAGATGTTCGCTGTTTACTATAGTCTACAATTAAATCAAACACGATGTGCATTCCGGTTTTAGCTATTTAACAATAATATAAAATGCCAGCTTCCTGCAGCCAGGGTTGCGTCCATTCTGTCCGAGCCTGTCCCTGTTGTTATTATTGTAATTAGGCTATTATTCCTCTCTACATTTACAACCTTATTTATAAAAGCAGCCTCCGCAAAATACAGTCGCCTACATCCTAGATACTTGTATCACAAACGTTACCGACACATTTAAAAAAAAATCCAAATTCCGCATCAAGCAGAAGAAAAAAAATCCACGGGTTTTTCAGTTCGGCACAAAAATGCATCTCCTCTCCTTTCCGTCTCCCTTTTCTCCCCCTCCTCTACTCCCCCTCCCTCTCTCTCTCTCTCTCTCTCTCTCTCTCTCCCTCCCTCTCTCACTCTCTCTCTATCTATCTATCTTTCCCCTCCCTCACTCTCCCTCTCCCTCACTCTGGCCTGGCTGGCTGGCTGACTGTATGAATAATGTCCTGCCTTTTGTAATGAAGGGGGGGAAAGGGGAAAAAAGGACGCTGAAGTGGTAAAGACCTGCTCCCATGCACTGACATTGAAAATGAATGACAGCTTACCTGCATGCCAATCTTCATCAGACTGACACTGGGCTGACAGCACAGCCTATACTCCTCCACACAGTCGGTGACGTCAGCCATGCTAGGCCCCTCCCACCTCCAACTCCATCTCTGCTCCCCGTTTTCCCAACACCGGGCTGTTGATGCCTTCCAGTGTCCATAGGAAATATGACAAACAACTGTGGGCCTTTACCTGAGATCAGCCGGGGAAAATACAGTTTACAGTTGGTTCAATACATTCATGTTTTATGGCAATACCAGCTGGTTCAAAGTAATGCCTCAGAGGTGATGAAACAACAACAAAACACACCACTTAATCTTTCTGTTGTTTCCTCCTGATCAACTTCAATGACAATTTAAATGTAAAGATTATAGCCGAAACAAAAATGTTAATATCACTCACAGATGCATAAGTGATATCTCCATTATATTCTATTTTGTCTTGAACACAGATAAAGACTGTGCTTAAAATAGAAACAAATGTTTAAAAACTAATTATTATTCAAACATTCTAGAGCCATTTTAGCCAACTAGTTTTCTGAGAATGAACCAACAACCACTGAAATAGTCACATCACTTCAGTACAGTCAGCAGAGTAAAAACTGCTGTATGAAACCCATGTAGGGCTGTAATCTGAATTTTAACATTTGTTTATCTCAGCTATTTCACCCTGTAGCCTAATATTTGCACTCCAGTCAGTTATTTGCTTATTTTATAAGTTTCACTGAGGTCAGGTTCAGAGACCCTTGGCAGGTTGCAAGTCAGAGATCATACAACTAATTTAATGAATGAATTAAAAACTAAAATCAAATTAGATAAATCACTGTATTATATAAACTAACTATCACAATGCTCTTTTAATGTGCCTCACGTTTTGAGATTGTGGAGGAAACATTACCTTAGGAAAACTGAGGCAAACTCTACACAGTTCAGTGTGAATTAGGACTGATTTGATTGTATGTTTCTGTTTTTACTCTTGATATGTGTTACTCTAAATAACCAGTCCTCTGCCATCTGCCTCCTTCATTAAGCAACTTGATTTTTACAATACCCAAATTATTTATAGAAGCTGGATGGACGGATCTTACGACGGACACTCAAAGGCAACACGTCTTCCAGGAAGCACGCAAAGGTACCACTACTTCGGCGCGGAAGCACACACACACACACACACACACACACACACACACCCAAGGCTGAAACACAAGTGTGCCTTTAAATTTCGGATGTGGCCAGATCCCTGTCGGTCCGTTTTAATAATTTCATGCTTCGAAAAGTCAGGTAGGATGGTGGGATTGAGGAATCAGTCCTGCGAATAAGACCCCCAGATATGCTCCGAAACGACACCAAATGGCAATTTGTTTCAGTTCGTCTTGATGTTCTCAGCAAAAAACACAAAGACGATTTAACTTGATATCAAAAAACATAGGCCACTGTAACTTTTAGGGGTCACCCAGCAAACAGCGTCCCCCCGCAGGCCCCTCTACAGTGTCACAAGACTAAATCGAGAGCTCATGAAATAAGAAGAAAAACTGTTTTAATACACAATGTGGATTATATTAATTTAGTGAAATGTTGGGAACAACATTTAGCCTATTTAAATGAAACCATTTAGAAGGGGAATGGTACCAGCAACTTTAATTAATCATGTTACTTTACCTAAAATGTAAAACAAGTCATTATATTAGACCAAGAGAACAAAAAGGAAGATTCTGAATATTGTACATAAAAAAGTGGTGATTGTACTTTGGTGCAGCATGGTGGAAAGCCCAAGTCGGGAATGCTATTGATACTGACAGACAGGAACATGATGAAACATGTCAGCTTTGCACCAGTGAAGCAGGACAAAGTGGAAGACAGGAGGGAATGACAGGCAATAAAATAAGACACATTACTGATACAAAATAAGAGACATAATATTCCTGCACTAAGCTCCAAAAATATTTGTAAGCTCTGGGCTTTCAGAAGTCTCAACCAAGGAGCTTATTAGCTCTGATGATGTAATACACAGTAATATACAACTTGAATTGGGTACTAGGCTAGGTACATATGGACCTGATATGAATGCAGTGCAGTAGGTGCAGGTTTGCCTGTACAAGCAGATGGATAGATCTATGATTCCGTTTAAGATAATAGCAGGGCTCAAAAGCTTTTGTTAGAATTGCAAGTACTATTTTCTTCTGAAAAGGCAAATATTGACAGTGATGTCACCCCTCAAAACACTTTATTAATCAAAATAAAATTCCACTTTATCACAGCACACGTAAATGAAAATTATATTCAGGCCTTATGAAAGGAAAAACAGAAATAAAGGAAAATTAAAATTAAATCAAACAGATAAATAGGTGAATACAATCATTTGTAAGTGTTTTTCAGAAGGTAGTTATAATAAATCATTGTGCATATGTTCCTTTTGTATTATTGAAATTATTCAGAATGTATAAAATGTGTAAAATCATGGCGGGAAACAAAATAATGGTAATATTATGAAAACAACATTTAAAGAAATCCCACACATCCTTAACATTTACAATAAAAACAATTTTGGGTTCATTACATTGAATATATATTATAATATTTTTAAAGAAAGTTTAAAATGGTGTTTATAATGCTAACGATCGAAAAAGAGGAGAGTAAATGATTATTTTTGTCAGTTTATTTACAGTATTTTGTGGAGGAAAAGGAAGTGATGTCATTCCGGGGGCGGGACTACCAAGCTTTAACTTCCACCAATAGCGCGCTTGCTTGGTAAAATATGAAAATGGCGGCTTTATGTAGTGAGTTCGAGGGCTTGGTACAAGTCAAGAAACAGCTAATATCAGTGATATTGCTTTGTAAAGAAAGAAGACCTTTACACATCACGAAGTGGTGAGACTGAGTGTGACTATTGTGTCTTTAATTGGTATTTCTATACTGTTGATTTAGCAGCTAGCTAAAACTAAACGCTGAAAAGTTGCATATCTGTTGGCTAATGTTAGCAGTGATATTGATAAAGTATTTTGTTGTTAGCTAGGATTAAACTGTAGTGTTGATTGGGCTTGTGTTGTCTGGTAGCCTACATGATTTGTAATGTTAAAGTTAGTTTTTAGACGTTACTTGGATTAATTTGCATTTGTTGTAAATTGTTGAACACAGTCTTTGTGCTTTTTGCTTGATGTAAGAATTCTGACCCAACTGCAATCACTGTCATTAATATGACGTATGCTATCTGTGCCTACATTGTAGAGGGCTTCTGAGTTGGCCATTCCGTTTCCCACTGTCTCCTCTTCAAATAGCTGTAGGGTTTAACAACAATTAATCATTATTTTATATGTTCTATTAGTATTACATACTGTATGTATTGAGATGGATAATCCGTTTTCCAAAACGGCTGGTAACTCAAACAGGGGTAAATAGTACATTTACTGGGGGCTTTGTATTTTCAGCTAAAAAAATATACTAGCAGGTATTCATAGCCAGAATCAGAAAAACTGCATTACAAAATTATAGCAATTTGTGTTTGAAGTGCACACGCAGGTATTTTTATCAAATTATTTTTAAGTAATCTTACCATCCAATGTGCATAACCTATATTTATAATTAAATTAAGAGAAAGGGAGACTGATGGATCTCATTAAATGGGAAAATCGCTTCTGGAAGAACTTTCCAGTTCTTTTTATCTAGTCACTGTTGTGCTATATAGTCTAGCAGCCAATATGATGATAATGATGACACTGATGATGATGATTAGGCTGATACATTTTAATTGAAGTATAAACTGATGAATTGCATGCATGCTTTGCCATTTGTGTACATGATTTATTTGTAACTTGTTTTACTTCTGAAGAAGAATTTCTGCTCTTTCACAATGTCTATGTTGGACTTGATGCACAGTTCAGCTTTCTCACTCACTTGACTATTGCCAGCTCATTTTTGGACAAAAAAATATTAGTGGCCTACTACTTTAAAGAAGTACTTGATGGTGGGTTTTGGCCACTACTAACTTCAAACTGGAACTTCACTAGACATGAGCAGCGGGTATGCGTGATTTGAGTGTTTGATCAGACTCTGACCTCCCAGCAGCGTCTCTCGTCAGAACAGCTGTCTGTCAGCAGGAGGACAACATGGTCTTCACTGGGCTGACCAACAGCAGGAATATACTGGACAGAAAATAATTTTCATGTTGGTTCATCAGCAGCTCTTATATGCATTTATTAACTTCCCCCGTCTTGCTACAACAGACAGGGGGAAAGTAAAATCAGAAACCTCACAGTGAAACCAGGAGCCTGATCATTAGAAGAGGTTCTAGTTAAACGTTTCCAACACATAAATAGGTTAACAGATGATCTACCTGATTTAAGCAGCTGTCTGTCCCTTCACATGCACCAAAGGGAAAAAACTGACTCGAAACGTTATAAAGGGGTCCAAGGATAACATGTCTGTCTCTGACTCGGTGTGGATCAGCACATTGGAAGTCTCTGCTTCGTGGGACAGGTGAGTGACAGACGTGCAGATAAACGCTGCAATGACAGTATCACGGGGATTATGACTGTCAACCAGTTCTACAGTTGTTTTGTGCATAACCTGTTTAATTTTCAGTTGCACCCAGTGTGACCTTTGCAAAAAGTCAGTCACACCTTATAGAAATTGTCATTTTGTAAGATGATACTGATCACTTGCAGTATGGAGCCCTGGTTAGATGTCTTGAATGGGCATAAAATGAAAGCTGTTCAGTACAAGGTTGTTTACTGAAACCATTCGGATTGGAGGTGAAAAGTTGCAGCTGAAATCCAAAGGTTATCAACTTTGCTGTTAATGTACATATACTGCCCCCTGCTGACAGTTTTAGTTTGTAGAAGGAAAAACTTGGTAATTGTTCAGATGTTGGCTGTATAATTACTACTTTATAAAAGCCCTTTTTTGCTTTTCAGTTACTTTTTTTTTCAGCCAAAGTTGACTTGATAAAGATAATTAGGATTGCTTTTCTTTTTAACTGTCTGTCCATAATATAGGAAGACGCACAAGACTTGGATGCATTTACACCGGCCAAAGCATAGCTTGACCTGAAAGAGTGCTGCAGTCAGAAGGCCTATCTCCTATATACACTATGTGTTTTCGCTGTCTGGTAAGATTGTTTAGATATATGGCAGTTCCATATGTTCATTCTTAATTTTATGTCATGATAATTCTTTTAATTTGATCTTAGCAAACCCTTTGTTTTTTCCTTCAGTCAGGTGAGAAGAAGAAGGACGATGAGACAGTGGACAGCCTTGGTGTGTGCTTGTCTGTTTAGGCCAGTATTGGAAGACTTAACTTTTTTTTTTTACCTCGTGACACTGAACTTTGAGGTGCTTTTCTTTATGGTTCTAGGTCCTCTGGAGAAGGGTCAAGTGTGCAATGAAGCCTTACGAGAACTAAGAGTTCAGCTTAGTAAGAAGAACACTGCAGACGAGTTGGATGGCTTCCGCTGTATCTTTAAGAACTTTTCCTCAGGGTACAGACTTTCCACAGATTCTGCAGAGGAATGAAGTTGTCAGTGCTCATAAACTGTATGTTATGTGTGCATGTATAGGAACAGACGTATGGAGTTGTGCTACAAAAACTGGATTTACTGAAGGAGGCTGTGGATGTGTTTGTTGAGGTAATTCATGCACTTCCTCTTCACTGGGGAGTCTGGCTGGAGCTTGGTAATCTTGTCACCAACACTGAAATGGTAATGATCTTTTACACAAATTGTGCACAGTGTTCTTATTAACTTCCTGTTCTCAGGTCCACAGTCATCATTTACTGTTCATTTAGAACAACCCCATGACTTTGAAGCTATACTTTGAACTCTCATGACAAACGCAAAATATGAAAGCACGGGCTCCGCAGGGGTGTGTGCTCAGCCCATTGCTCTTCACACTGCTGACTCACGACTGTGTGCCAACCTACAGCATCAACCACATTGTCAAGTTTGGCCTCATTACCAACAATGATGAGGCCAACTAGAGGAGTGAGGTGTGCCAACTGGCCCAGTGGTGTAAGGACAACAACCTCTCCCTCAATGTGGGGAAGACTAAAGAGATCATTGTGGACCAGCAACACCACATCACTAGCCAAGAAGGCTCAAACATGCCTCTACTTCCTCCACAAGGAGAGCCAGTGCCCCACGCCCCTATCATGTGCTCCTTCTACCGGGGCACCATTGTCATCACTGGCTGCATCACTGTGTGGTATGGAGCCTGTACTGCCTCCTGCAGAAGGACCCTGCAACACGTTGTGAAAACAGCCAGCAAGCTCATCAGTGCCCCTCTGCCTTCCCTTACGGACATCTTCAACACCCGCCTCACTTGCAGAGCCATCGGCATTGCTGATGACACCTCACACTCCCACCTCAGACTCCTGCCTTCAGGTAGAAGGTATTGGAGTCTTTAGGCCCACTCCACCAGACTTACAAACAGCTTTATCCACCAGGCTGTGAGGATGCTGAACACTGGCCCAGTACCTGCCCCCTGCCCCTGGACTGTAACCCCCCACAAATAATAAAAAGACTACCTCTGTTGTTTGCACAAACTCAGTGCATTCCGCCTTTGTTATATTATATGAAAATCTGCTGCTGACTGGTTTTTTACGGTCATATCTGCTGCTGTTGGTCATTTGCACTACTGTCCAAGTACATTTCATAAGCTACTATGCACCTCATCACCAGTGCCCCAAGTGATGCTAACCATCTGACAATCTTCTTATTTGCACTACTGTCACTGATTGTACATAGTTTTGAGTCGTAACCTATTAGGTTGTACTGTTTAGTTTTATCCTAATCACTTTGACTTAGTTTTCTTGTTCTTTTTAGTCTATTTTTGCTCAGCTTTTCTTCTTTTTTATTTTAGTTTCCTAAATGCATTCAATACTAGTTGAGAGAGAGAAACGGTATTTCGATTTTCTGTAGGTCCTGCACATTTAGTGAATTGACAATAAAAATCTTTGATCTTGATCTAAACAACAAATGTTTGCCTATTTGATCAGTGCAAAGAAACTTAAATGAAGTAAAGCGACTCTTTCTCTTTCTCCTTGGCTGAAGTCACTGTCCCTGCCAGACTGCTGGATTAAAGACATCTTTATGGCCCATAGAGCTGCAGATCAAAGAAGCGCAGAAATACTAGAACCTTATTGAGGCTGGCTTTTCTAAGAGCACCTACATCATCTTACAGATTGCTTTGGCTTATTAGAGGTTTGTTTTCTACCTTATCAATAAGATTTTTTTTTGCCTTTGGGAATCAGGTTTAGTCTTACAGTACCATTTCTCCCTTCATTTCAGATGTTGACCAAGCTTTGGCTTTGTTCACTGAGTTCAGGGATCAAGATCCATATAGCATCAACATGGACATGTTCTCCAACCTGCTCTATGTTAAGGCAGGGTCACAAGATGTCTGTTTTCACTTGTTCCTCCAAGTGTTTCACAGAGAAGATAGAAACGTAAACAGTATCAACCAGTAGGGATACAGTGCATGGAACACGGGGACGTATGCTTACTGACACAGGAGTTCACTGTATTATGTGATGTTTATATTTGATTTCAGAATTATTTCATGGGTTTTTGCAAAGACCTAAGTGGGTAAAAATGTTAATCTAGGACAGACTGATGTTCATTTAAGGACCCTTTTATAAAGGCAATATTAAAATAAAATTTGGTTCTGCTGATGCTAATGCATGTTTCCACAAAGCACGAAGCCAGAGCTGAGCTGTTTGGCCCACAACTTTGTGAAGTAGTTGTTGGGCTTGATAGACCTGGACTATGTTGGAAGGATTTTTGAGGATGCATAGACAGTTGTTTATGCATTAAAAATGCATTTTTTTGTAAAATTTGCGATGTTGATGCAAATGTAGAAACAGTCTAAGCTCTGGCAATACATTTATTTGGTCAAAAGTATAAAAAAGAAAGTACACAAACATTTTTAAGGATTTTATTGTGGAAAAAGTATTTACAGCAATAGTGTGTGGTGGACTTGCAGAGATTAAAACCATGCACAAGTCCTTTAATCATGCTGAGCAACTTCCCTGCTTGACCATCTCCATTTCCTTAACAGTATAATTCAGCCCCATTTAATGCATTAAAAGCTTTACTGGCATAACTGTACCTGTGCCATGACAAAATGTACAAGTATAAGGCCAGTGATACTCTTCTTTTTCTCATTTTCCACATATCATACAGAGACTAAAACCCAACAAATAAGTTACTCATGTCTGTACATCCATAACCTGGTTAAGCTTATTCATCTGTAGCATAGAAATCCATCGTTTGAAAACACCAGTGAGCCACACTGCTGCAATGGGTGACACGTTTCTTCCTCATGTAACGTGCGTGTTTTTTTTTTGTTGTTTTTTTTTGTAAACCAAAAAGGGCTCCAGATGCACAAAAGAAGTCTCTGAGGTAACAAAGTCAACACATGATCTTGGCTCTGTGTGCACAACTCCACTAACTTAATGTGTGTGTACACCACATTTCTCCTGAGGTAGAAACATGTCAACCCGTGCAGAAATGTGGCTGACTGGTGGGGTTTTTTTTGTTTTGTTTTGTTTTTGTGGCATACACCAACAATGCAGGGTTTATCCTGCAGAAAGAGGAGCTAAATCAGGTTCTGGATTCAGACACTGATAGTCTCTCTATAGGTTTTGTGGAAAATAATTAAAAATAAATGTCACCCTATCTTTTAGCTACACTGCAAAAAGTGAATATATAAAGCAAACAAACATTAAAGACAACAGTATAAAATTACTAGCAATTCTAACTTTGAATATATGAAATACATGAATTTCCAAATAGGATGCCTTGGATGACACACAAAATACTACAACTAATTACAGCAAGGAATGCAGCATGCATGTCTGGGGACACCAATGCCTATAGTACAGCCAGGGCTGCTTTGAGGGACGGCATCAAATCTGTCAAACTAGGATACAAAAGGCAGATTAAAGCTAAATTTAACAACTCTGCAAATCCCCAGCAGGTGTAGGAGGGCGTCAAGGCAGTAACGGACTATAAGACAACATCTTCCACAGTGAACTGCTGTGCCACCTTGGCTGAGGAGCTAAATCTCTTCTACACCCGTTTTGACAGACACAACACAGACCCAGTACTGCCTCCCCTGCCCTTTACTGACACCGCCCCAGTCCTGAGCACACATGAAGTGAGACTCTGTCTGCGTAACATCAACCCCAGGAAAGCAGCCGGACCAGATGGAGTGCAGGGATAGGTGCTGAAAGACTGTGCGGCTGAGCTAGCAGAGGTCTTCACCACCATCGACAACACGTCATTGTCCACATCGTGGGTCCCAGCCTGCTTCAAAGCAGCCACAATAGTTCCTGTCCCTAAAATTGTAACTTTGCCCTACAGGCAGTGGTCGAGAAGCAGGCCTCCTGCTCAGGCTTTTGCTTTAGGTCGTCTCTATGGTGCCATGGCACTGGAGCCTGTCATGTATCAGGATGTGAGGCAGCTTCAGCCTAGTGAGGTCAGGGTCGAGGAAATCCACAGAAACTCATTGTTCAAAGAGGTAAACAGAAGAAACACTTTTAAATCTCTTGTGAAATTTCTAACATATTCAGTTTCCTTGTAACATGTCCCATAGTGTCTGTTGCTTTATGTCAAATACATTTTTCAAGGTTGAAGGATTTTGTCAATTCATCATATGTGCAGGACATACAGAAAATTGAAATACTGTTTCTCTCTCACCTAGTATTGGGTGCCATAACATTTAGGAACTAAAATAGAGTGAAGTAGAATAAAAAATAGAATAAGAACTGGATTGACGTAATTAGGATAAATCTAAATGGCACAGCCAATATTCCACCTGTTGTCCTTGAGGAGGAGATAGAGGTCCATCCCTTCCAGAACCACCAGATTGACCCCCAGCCTCTTTCCTCAGGCAGTGAGGGTACTTTATTACATACACAGTATCTGTGGTTGTACTTGTTTGAGTAGTGTGTTGCTATTGCCTGGCACAGCTTCTCTCATGTGATGCAACAGCAGGCTCGTTCACCAGACTGTAGGTCCACCATGAGCCTCTGCAAATCCAGACACAGTTGACACAGGTTCTGTTGGGTGAGGGGGAAAAAAAGAGAGCATTTTAGTTTTTCTGAGGTTGGAGAGGCAGCAAAAACAGTAGTGCTGCTGTTATGGCCCAGCGGTAACTGACCCGTTGACCTTCCTCCAGCTTGTGTTCAGCACCACTGGTGAAAGTGCCTGTTAAACCTGGAACTTCCAGCTTCATCTTCAGCTTTTCTACAGAGGCAAGGGCACTGGGAAGGAGGTGAGCATCTGATCCCATCTTTCAGAAGGTTTCAAGCAGGAAGACAGAAGCTTAAAGTCACTGTGTAGAAGTTGAAAATTTCCACACCTCTTGAATTACTGCCCATTTTTCTGCAGTTCAGTCTTGAGCTGTGTTCATCATTAGTTGGAGAATCAACCTGTGGTGGAGCAGGAAAAATAATAAATGCAAAATCACCATGAGAGTGCAGGATGAGATGATGGATGAGATTGATGCAGGTGTATGGTTTGATGCAAGACAACTTGAAGAATAAACAACTTTTAAATAGTATTTTTTGTGTGTTTGTCAGGAAAAGTAAACGGCTCCTAACATTCAGTACTATCCTGTTAACTAAAAGTAACGGGACAGATACATCGCTCGGGTCTGATTCCTTAGATATAAACTGCATTTGACAACGTGTGATAAGCTGCGTTGCTAGACTTGCCAAAGCAGCTGAAAACTACATTCTTACATTTAACCCTGTACAATATTTATTTGAAACCCCTCTTTATTCATACTGAATATTAGTGGTTTTAGATTTTATTTAATAAATAAATGGTAGGAATAAGCCACAGTTTTGCCTAAAAGCCTAAAACATGTCTTGTAGCTTTTCTTTTTCCTGTTTCTTCCCTCAGCTCACAGTAAGGCTGCCCTTTAGTGGTGGCACACAGCATTACACCAATCTTAACAAGTGTGGCCCATTACTCCCTGCTAGTCAAATGAATGGCAATTTAATGGTACAAATAGCAAAGTATGTACATGGTCACAATTTTTGTGAGCATGTGTAGGAAAGATTTGCACCTAAAAACATTTTTTTGAACGCATGAATAAAATCTGTAAACAAATTATGTTACACAAAGACACTGAAAACAAGTGTGTTTGTGAACATCTGTGTTAAGGCAGAAAGTAGCAAATCTCATGCTTGCCTCATGAACTTCCTTCTCTTCCCTGCACTTCCCTCTTCAGGACATCGATGGCCTGCAGCAAAGCCTAAATAAAGTACAGTCAGCTGTTAGGAACACTGGAAAAGTGTGTTTTGGAGGTATTAAAATACATCATCAAGGTGTTAAGGAAATATGTTAGAAAAATCCCACAAACTCTTATAGATGAAGGCTATATACACCAATCAGGCCACTGGCAGTCGAAGTGATTAATACTGACTCTGTTACAGTGTCACCTGTCAGTGTGGGGCCTGTGATGGTGAGATGACTGGGTCAGAGCATCTCCCACACTGCAGGTCTTGGTGGGTGTTGTTGGTCTGTAGTGGTTAGTACCTACCAACAGTGTCTAAGGAAGGACAAATGGTGAACTGGAGACAGGGTCATGGACGCCCACGGCTCACTGATGATGAGGTTGACCTACTGTAGATTAAACTTTTAACTTCCATTTGTACTTTTCAAAAGATTAAAATTTATTTGAATCTTTGTTAAAATGGTTGAAAATGAGAAATACTGTACATTGGTCTCTGAAGAGAAAGAGTCAGGGGCTGTAGTGGTGATATCACACCTAGAGTGGTGAGGCTGTTGGATTTGTCTAAATAATTCTCTAACTAGTCCTCACCACCACAGTTTTCACTCCTTTTATATAAGTGTTTCACTGAATTGCAGATACATCTGTGCTCTTCCTGACAGTAGAACTGTGGAAGCAAATGGATTCACAGAAGATGCACAGTGAGCTGCAGAGTGACTCGAGTGCTGACCAACTGTCACATGGACTCCTATGTAAACGGTATTAGGCAGGTGGTTGTAATGTTATGCCTGATTGGTGTAGTTTTCACATATGATGTTACCTCAGTATTTAACATGGTGATATCTCCATCTTCGACATCACTCTCATCATCTTCCATCACCATGCTTCCATTCCCATTTTCTGTTTGCGCAGCACAGAGGGGATGTAGGCCACTCTGGTCTTTGTGGATGGGCCATGGACCAGTAAAAATTAGTGGGATGTTTCAATTTTTCGATAGCAGCCACTTCTACTATTTGACGGTGGTACATACCGTGTAGAGGTTTGCCCTTCCATGAGGGTTCCTGCTCTTCCTTCCCTAGTTCCTCTGGTTTCTGCTGCCTGAGGTATTCACTAAGCATGTCATCACTCATCACATATCATATATATATATATACACATACATACATACAGGGGTCTACTGTACCAGACAGGACCCCAGGTGTCCCAGCTGTGCAAAGATGCCCCTGAGACAATCCAGCACATAACAGCGGGGTGCAAGATGCTAGCAGGCAGGGCATACATGTAACGCCATAACCAAGTGGCTGGCATAGTGTACACAAACATCTGGGCCGAGTACGGGCTGGAAGTCCCAAAGTCAAAATGGGATACACCCC